AAAATAGCAAGACAAGAGCTTCTCTAAAGAGAAATGCACGTGCAATGCCTCAGATTGCGCATGAACAACAGTGTCAATTTCGCTCTGACCCCATCAATCATGAAAATGGACCAAAAACGTCAGGTCATCACACATGAATAAAAGATTCCCCCTTGCTCTTACTAACGACTCGAAATTTCCTTTTGTCGGGAGGATTAAATGCCGTAAAGTAATCCTCGTAGACCATGTCTTCGGCGGTGACCTCAAAGGGAAGCAAGTCTTCAAACCGACGGAACAGCGTGCCCAGGGTGACGTACAGCTCACACCAGGCGAAATTGTGGCCGATGCACATGCGACGGCCACGGGAAAATGGCACGAGGCACTTTTCGCGCTCGTGGAAAGTCGAAGGGTCGGTCCAGCGAGTAGGGTCGAACACTTCGGGGTTGGGAAAAGCAACAGGGTCGTGGTGCATCATCCAGGACGACATGCTCACTACAGTCTGGAGCGAGTTAAGTATGGCATCTTTAGAGGTAGCTAGAGCTATGCCAGTATCGGAAAGGAGTATACTTACTCCTTCGGGAAGATAGTAGCCCTCAATCTCGGCACTGCCTTCAGGAGCGACGCGTGGGAGACGACTTAGTACACCGTAGGACAATCTAATGGCCCGTGAGATTGCGTACAGTTTCGGTGTCTCGGTTCAATGAACTCACCTCTGGCCCTCTTTAATTACGCCTGTCAAGTACGGTAACTTTTCTAGTTCGGTGAAACTCAACTCGGCGGTAGGGTCAGGGAACGCCTCTCGCAGCTCACGAATCAGGTTCGTATAAATGGTTGGGTTAGTGACAATATGGAAGGCAGCCATAGTGAGAGCATTTCCGGTAGTATCGGCGGCGGCAGTGCAGATGGAAAAGGACTCGTCGACAAGGTCGTTGACCGTAGGGACGACATGGCCCTCGGAAGCGTTTGGATCGAGGAGCTGGTGGAAGACGGTGAGCCGCTTGGGTTTCATGCCTTGGTCGATGCGGGTCTGGACGCCTTGAACTTGCTGCCTCGTTTTCTTCACAAGAGTTTAATAAATTAATACCGAGGATATGATGAAGCAAATCGCAACTCACTCTCCGGCAGCCTAAGAAGTCGGCAACGGTAGGGCTCATACGCTTAGCAAGCCACTCTGGGAGACCCTGGATCGGATCACGGAGGGACGGAAAGGCCTGGAAGGTCCAAAACATGGGTGTGGAGCCACGAACCATGTCGCTGAACCATTGGCCGAGATCATCAGCATCAAGTTGGTTCCAGCATTCGTCAAATGCGTAGTCAGTGATAGTATCGACGCTGATGGCCCGGAAAGCGGCGTGTAGGTTAGTCGGTTGGCCCGTGGCGCGATCGGCACTAACACGACGGCACAGCTTGTCGACCTTGGAATGGACAATGTCTTCCAGCTCGAGGACTTTGCGGCGGGAGAAGAAGGGGTTAAGAGCTGCACGGCGACGGCGATGAAGGTCATTAGAAACTGTAGCAAATGTTGCCGTGTCGATACCGAGAGCGCCGTAGAACCGTGGGTCTTTGTAAAAGTCACTCTTTACGCCATAGATTATGTCGTAGTACTTGGAGTTGGCGAGATGGACTTCATCGGGAGTGATTCGTACAATTGGACCTGCCATTACACCGTTAGTGTGACGTTCTTGATCGGCGCTGGCTGGGCACTCGATCCCACGTACCATAGATGCCGTGTAGCCGCTCAATCTCCTTGTAAAACTTGCCCTCCATCGGCACATTGTAGTACCATGCATACAATCTCGTCACAGCAGGCAGAAACGGTCCTGGGATGCTTGCCAGTGGGTGAAAGAATCGACGATAGAGCACTTTGGTAACGGCGTAGAGGATGCCGCCCCCGACGGTAACCACTCGCCACCACTTGGCCAGCAGCTCCGGGAGCGACGCGAGGCTGATGCCGGAGCTCAGAGTGCTGAGAACGGCCATGGCGGGTGAGCCCAGATGGAAAATGAGGGGAAGATACAGACGTAGAGGGAGCGAGACATGGGTGGACGGGGACTTTTGGATTTATACTGAAATGAGGGCCGTCAGATATCCCGATTACAACGAGACACCAGCTACTGGCTGCAGCTCCAGCGGGTCCACAGCGGCCCTTGCTACCTACGGTGGCCTGCGTGTCTCGATGCTGTCCATTGGGAGTGTTGTGAATGAGGAACAGAGAGATAGTGGGTGGCATTCCTGATTTAGCGGATGCGGAGGATGTGCTGAAGCCCCCGCAAACGTTCCAACCGAGAGCTTCCCCGGCTTTAATAGAGGTGAGTTTAGCCTACTATAGTTCCCGATGTCCCATTCCAATAATTAGCGGGCGATCCCGCATTAGCCTGATTCCGACCGTCAACCGAGTGTTCATTTTCTCCGAACAGCACGGCTCAATGTCAAGTAGTCGAGGCTGCATTGTGAAGTCTGGTTGAAGGCACATACACAATGCAATGTTTTGGTTGATTAAGGTTTAAACTTATTTTAACTCAAAATAGACTCCTCATGAGACCTTCCGCGCAAATAGGAGTTCCGTATACCGCCTGCCTCTTGCTGCGCATTCATATTTTGGACAGACCATTCGATGAAGATCCCGGCATAATTACCATAATTCGAAAATCTACGCTTGAAAATGCAAGTCTATTTGGGACGGGGTGAAAATAACCATACCATTTTTTGAGATAAATTATGCAGTTCGTTGCGATATCCGTGTGGAAAAGTCGTCACAGCTCTCACGAACAAGATCCCTGTGGATACTTATTCGGAACTCGAGCTGGGGGAAGACTGAATTATATATCAAGCACATTCTGAGGATCGAAGGTTTCAAAATTGGGAGGGTTAGTGGGCGGCGATGGGGAGTCGCAGCCATTTCTCACTCTGGTGTCCCACATTGGCGAATGGCATACCAAATCCTATGGCATCTATTTCTGCACCGTTCCCGAGGGAGACTTGAACTATTGACAATTCCCTCCCAGTACCGTGGAATTGATGACCTCAGTCTTCGAGGAGCGGCTCCACGATACAGGTGAACTGGTCACGGGGGAACTTGACTGATGTCTGGGACACGTCAGATTAGTTCGGCTATAAATGAGTAACCACGTTCCACTATCAAGAACCCATCACCACAGCCCTCGGAGGATGATGCATAAAGACAATATTGATGATGGCATCTGTATCGGCAACGAGAGCTTTGGGTGCCATGAGCACGCCCTGAGGCTAGGGGCCACGTTCAGTTGAGCAGAACATGGTCGAGGATCTGAGTATTGCAGCATATCTTTAGGTTATTAGTATGTGTGCTTCAGGTGAAATCATAGTACTTTCAGTTCCAAGTCCAATTGCGTTGGGCTTCTCTCAACTCACAGTTATACGAACAATGGGAACAGGCAGTTGGTAGCTGAAGGCAAACAATATGGACCTTAAACGTGAGACTACGATTGAGCTTGCTTCGACTTAGATAACGATCCCTCTCGATTCATATAGGACCAAAAACCGTAAGTTCAAAGCATCTTCATCCTGCCACTCCGTCGGGTCACATTGTAGCAGTACCCGCTCACATCAGTAACTCTGATGTTATACCAACAACCACACGCCAGCTATAAACACTACCAAGTTTGCAACGCCTACAAAAGCAACCGTCGAGCCGTACCTATTCGAGCCCACACCCTCGAATCCTTCAGGCCAGTCGTTGCCAGGCGTGTAACCCCTAGAATATGGCCCAGCCGCTCCCTTATGGTTGCTTGCACTGGTTGTGGGACAAACTCCCGAGTCTTCGCTTTCGTCAGGCTTCGCACTTGTTGTACCCGGCGGTCCAGGCTCCGCAGGCCCAGGTCCAGTCTCGCATGTGCCTACCGGCGGCACGGCGTTCGGGTTGTTCACCGTGACCTCCGGTCCTGGGTTCGGAATCATGACATCCTTGAATTCAACCGTCGTACAACCGTTTCCCACGTTGGCCTTGAATATAGTCGGCCGACTTAGGAACCCGCTTTTGCCTTCGCTACCAGTTCCGGCCTTGGTATCGACAGATGCGCAGTTCATGTACATCTCTCTGTTTCCCAGGTTATTGAACCACGACCATCCAAGGAGAGCGCGGTCCTTAGTCGGCACGTCGACGGGAACACGGAAAGTTAACTTATTATCGCCCATCACCATTGGACACGCCCCGATGTAGGTGTGTAGGACGCGGAACGTCTCGCCGCCGTCGACTGAGAGACTTGCTTGGCATGAACCACCAGCATGGATGGCCTGGCCGGTAACGATCATGGAGTACGTGCCACCGCCTTCTAGGGTCGTCACCGGTGTGCCCTCTACGGTAGTAAGGAGCGTTTGGTAGCCTTTGCATGGGAAATCGGAGCCGTCAGACCGGAGCGGGTTCGTCATGCTGTAGTCGATATCCGTGCCCATGTAGGGGTTGAACTTGGACCGGAGCGGAGGGGGGTTGGAGAGTTGCATGTGGCCCCGAGTTCCAACGACGAAGCCGAACAGGCAGAGGCCAAGAGTGTAGATTTGGAAGACCGCCATCTGAGGTGGTCTCATAAATTACTTGGTATACGCAGTTTAATTCTTGCTTTGTTACGACGGATTTCTCGTGGGACTTTTACCCCCCTCGTTGGAGGAGCGGAAGGGGCCAACTCCCGGGTTTCCAATTTATACTCGCACATTTTCCATGTTGAAGGGCTTCGTATGTGTATGTGAATTTGGAAAATGATAAGCGCTCTTGAATCACATTTAACCGAGTGCAGGAGTGCGAAGTGGATGTTTTCCATTTCATTAGCAGCTCATCGTTGACTGAGAGTTGAACAAGAGTCTCAACCAAGTTGCTTGTCGCGGCCATTGGGAGTGAACGGAACCGCGAGCAGTGAGTCGCTGACATCTATAACACAAAAAGAAAATACGCAGCTGGGTATAGTGTGAAGAAGCAGGAGGTTCCTCGGTGGACCAAAACGGGAAAACTGCAAAAAGAAGGGATGTTTGATGGAATTAAACCACCGAGTTGGACGAACAGGGAATCGAACCCTGGACCACTCCCAGATATCGGAGGACGAATCTTGCTAAGGGAGTATTATACCACTAAACCATTCGCCCGGTTGTTGATGATTTTGGGGGGGTAAATGAGGTATATTGTAGTGGTGGTGGTTTTTGAGGGCTAGGGCAGATGAGGGACGGAGACTAACACCGGCGAGTCCCGCCGTTGGATGGACGCCACATGCGGTGGATGCTATCCTGGGGCTATTGAGACTGGGGTTGTGGGAGTAGGAATCGGTTTCAACGAGTCAAGAAGAGCGTTTCAGGTCGTATTTAATCCAGGCTTAACATAAACTTTTAGAGTATGGAGAGCTATAGAGTTTTCGTATTATTGTGCGAGTAAGGAGAGCGTTGCTGTTGAACGGTGAAAGTACCGGTGGCCGGGCTGGAACGACACTCGGGGCTGGGATCTGGAATAGTTTATCAACTCCAACAGCAAGCATACAACCAAGCAGATAATCAAGGCTTGTAATACTCGGTAGTGTTAAACAAAACATCTCACTCCTTTCTTCGACTGGTTCCCATACAAGTCGCGAAAACGGACTGGGTTTTGCCGTGTGGTAAAAAGGGTACCTTGTCATTCCCCCACTCTGCATGACATGACGGAGCTCCCCTCCGACCCGCTCAGGGACGGGAGGCTGATCGCTCTCCACTTTCCCATCGCCAACCACCACCACCAACCAACACTTTCGAGATACACATAACTACACACATACACGCACGCAAGCACCTCGCCACATCTACTACCGAGACGCCGCATCTCCCTCCCTCCCTCCCTCCTCCAACATGGCGTCCTACATCGACACCCCCCTTGCCGAACCGCCCCAGGCCCCCGCTGCCGACATCGTCAACGAGGTCAAGAAGCCCAAGAAGAAAAAGGTGCTGCTCATGGGCAAGTCAGGCTCTGGAAAGTCCAGCATGCGGAGTATCATCTTCAGCAACTACATCGCCCGCGATACCCGCCGCCTGTGAGTTTGTTCCATTTCTCTCCGTGTTCTCTCCGTTGCTGAATCGTTCTTCTTCCGCAGCGGCGCCACCATCGACATCGACCTCTCCCACGTCAAGTTCCTCGGCAACCTCACCCTCAACCTCTGGGACTGCGGTGGCCAGGAGGCCTTTATGGAAAACTACCTCTCCCAGCAGCGCGTCCACGTCTTCTCCAACGTGGGCGTCCTCATCTACGTCTTCGACATCGAGTCGCGCGACGTCGACCGCGACCTGGCCACCTACGTCTCCATCCTCTCTGCCCTCCTACAGTTTTCGCCCTCCGCCAAAATCTACATCCTCATCCACAAGATGGACCTCGTTGTCCCCACCGCCCGCGAGGCCGTCTACGATGATCGCATCCGCGTGGTCCGTCATCGCACCTTTGAGTACGCGAACTCGGTCGGCATCGCCCCCGCCTCCATCGAGCTCACACCCTTCGCTACATCTATCTGGGACCAGAGTCTGTACAAGGCTTGGGCCTCCATAATCCACGACCTCGTCCCTAACCTGGCTGTCATCGAGCGCAACCTTGCCAACCTCGGGCTCGCCATCGAGGCCGAGGAGCTGCTCCTCTTCGAACGCACCTCCTTCCTCGCCGTCTCCTCATGGACCTCCCCCGAGGGGAACCGCAACCCCACCGAGGACCGCCTCGAACGCATGTCCAACATCATGAAGCACTTCAAGCAGAGCATTTCGCGCTTCACCGGTACCCCTCGCAACGCAGAGCAGTTCATCCGCATGGAGCACAAGGCCGGCATGCGCTTCAGCCTCTTCATTCTCAAGTTCACCACAAACACTTACCTCATGGTTGTCCTGCCCCCCGGCGAGGCTCGCTTCAACGCTGCAATGCTCAACTGTCAGATTGCCATCGAGCACTTCAGGTTCCTCGATGGGCCCGTTACTCAAGTGGCCCCTAACGTCACGTCAGGGTAATCGAGCTGAAGAGTGGACGGAAAAGGGAACAGCATTGAAGAAAAGTGCGAACGGAAGTGAAGTCTGAGAGAGAAAGATTAATGGTTATTTGATATGGATTTTATTCTTGGGCGTTGGGGCGTCGAGATACCACTTTATTCAAGGTGAAGAGCGGCGTTGGCAAAATAATCATTTGGATATTTAGATGAGCTACTATAAAGTAGCTGTACGGCAATAGTGCCATGCAATGATACAAAGCGCATTCGCATGGAGTCGATCCATTGTCACCTTCACATAGCACGCATTGACGCAGTGTTGAAAGGGTGAACATTCCTATGAGACCATCTATCGTGATTTTGTCGTGCCTACGTGAGCAGCCAGCCACTTCCAGTTTGTCTTCGTTCTATCAAATTCACTCCTGGACATTGGATGCGTTGAGCCCTCCTGTCCGTCTGACGCCAACCCATGAACCGGAACCTGATTAAGTCCATTTGACCACGGCCGTACCGCCCTTCTTGAACTCGGCCATCTCTCCCAGGACCAAGTTACGATCGGTATGTTCCTTGTTCGGGAACGTCGTAGCCAGAACCCACGACCGCGTCCGAGTTTCTGCGGACGCCCCTTGAACGAAGCCGTACACATCATCAATGGTGTGGGTAGTGTTGAAGCGCGCAGGCAGGCGAGTCCCATCGGGCATCTGGATGCGGATCATAATAGTTGGCTGGGAACTGTCCACCGTCGGAGCCGCACCGGAGTCAGAGGATCCCGCAGCTGCGGTTGTCGACGTGGAGACGGCGGCGGCTAGAGAGACGGAGGCGTCGTTTCCGTCACCAGGCACAGGACTTCCCAGGCGTCGACCGGAACCCCCAAATGGTCGGTACTGCTGGGGCTGTGGGGTGTAGGGCGTATCGTGTTGGTGAAGCTTCACATCGACAGGCTGGTCGTGTTGCACATTCATGAGATGGAGAGGCGCGCGTCCGGTCCGGATCATCTGCAAGTCGACCTGGTTGGCCGGGTCGTCAAAACGGCGGAGATCTCCATCGTCGATGCTGAATCCATCCTGCCAGATGTGAAGGACGCGCTCCTGAGCCTCAGCATTACTGGGTCGGGCCGCTCCTTGCGGGTCTGGGATGTTTCGGCTTTCAACGCCATCACCACCTACGGTGTTGCCGGAACCACGGAAGCGTGATGGCTGGGAAGGGCCAGCTTCGGGATCAGTGCCTTGGCTCTTAGCATTGCTGTTCGCTGTTAGAAGGTTTCTGGTTAATGATCCATGAGCAGCAAGAACTCACGCTCTGGCCTTGGCTAGAATATCGTTGATGAGTTTCTTGGGACCGCCATCCTGGTGGGGATCCTGTACCGCCAAGCCCGACTTCTCACCACCTGCGAAAAGGTTCCCTCGTCCATCATCGTCATCATCGCCATCGAAGAGGCCGTCGTCATCATCGTCGTCATCATGTTGATGCGAACTACCTCCAAGAGATCCAAGGGTGGCGATGCCCTTCTTCTTTGGCTGTGTCGTGGGCTTGCGGGCTGCACGACTGCTGGAGCTAGATTCGGGCGCTGGTCGGCCATCGAGGGTTCGTGGGCCGGTGTAGTTGTCGCTTGCAGCCTGAGACCGAGAGGCCTGCTCCACTTCATGCCCGGTCGCCGCGGGTTCATCGTCGGCATCCTCAAACCAAGAAGTACATGCAGCGGCTATGTCCCAGTGGTGCGCTTCGAGGTACTGAGCTGCCTAGCTCTCGAAATTAGTCGTCGCTCTACGTGCAAAGTTCGGGTAATCGAGAGGAGGGAGAAAAGAGACCTACCTCCTCTGGAGACGCATTGCACATGGCAGCGAACTGGGCGACCTTCGCCGCGGACTCGTCCGAGTCGGCCATCTTGGAGGGAATGGGAGGCGGGGTATGTCGGGGAAGGTGGAAGTTACAGAAGACGAGATCTGAACGCAGTCAAGCGCAGAGTCGGTCGCGGTTTAGCTGAAGAAAATAGGTTGCACACGCCGGCTGTACGGGGACAAACAGATCGCGCGAATGTTTGTTGGTGTGAGAATGCAATGTGGCTCTTGGACGTTAGAGAGGTCGCAAGCTACGTAGGTAGGCAGCTCGCCGCCTCGTCAGCCAAGCTCCGGTTGTTAATAAAGTGGAATGGCAATCGGCAGGTACGTACCTCGAACCTTCCACCAGCAAACAGCCCCACAATGGAATGGGAGACTTCAGCTTTCCTTCCGTGGCGGTGGTGGCGCGTTCACCCCACCGGAACAGCGATCCACCGAAGCCCCGGTCACGCCTACCCTCCAGCCTTACGTAAGGAACCTGGGGACAACGACAAGCTAGGCCGGCTCCCAACCGAGTCGTCAACACCGTCCTCGGCCGCTCGTCGAAGCTTGGCGCTCATCTTCTCGCAAATCCACTGCTTGGTGTATTCCAACCTCCGACCTCCGCGCATTCCCGTCAAAACCCTCCCTCAACCCTCCGCATCGCATCTCTCCACGCCCCTCCCATCCTCCTAGCCAACACATAATCCGCCCCAATGGCGTCCGACGAGCCGCTGAACCACCTGTCCGAGTCCGGCGTCACCATTCGCTCCGATAGCGAGATGTACTCGGGAGCTGAGGAGCTGTCATCTCCGCCATCTTCAAACTCGCCCATCATCCTCTACAAGCCCCCGACTGTGTGGTCCCTGGTACGGGGCGCCGCCATCAACCTGCTACTACCCTTCATCAACGGCATGATGCTGGGATTCGGAGAGCTGTTTGCCCATGAGGCTGCATTTAGGCTAGGATGGGGAGGCACTAAGGTGGGTTCTTTTCGCTTGCGCTTCCCAAAACTCATGTGAACTCAGACACCTGAGTAAAGCTTTTAAACGACATCAACTGGTTGTTCTTTGGGACCGCACTAACAGTTCCTAGGTCTTCCCCCTCTCCCGGCGGAGAGCCCACCCCATCGGGCCAGGCATCGAGCTTCAGGATCGGCCATACGCTCCTCGACCGTCGCTCAGCGACATTGCGAGTATGGAATGACTATCTGTATGGGATTGATCGGATATGGCCTTTCCCCGGGAATATCTACTCGGAGGGCGTGGGAACGCCACTTAAACTCCCAAGAAACTCATCAGCCTCTCCAACCATATGTGCGTTCCAGCTGTCCCAAAGATTATATAAA